TGTAGCTCATCAACCTGTCCTCTTGCCTGGTACCACCTGGCAGCTCTAACCCTGGACCTCACTCCTGACCAGTCCCTTCGAAGACCTTCTGGTGAATCCTGCTTTTTCTGCTCCTTCTCTTTCAGAACCTTGAATCTGGCCCTCCCAACATCCCCAGACATCTGCCTAGCTCTTCATTATGACTTGTTTCCAGAGTGATCCAGACTCTGAACTTTTCAAGGACTTCTCATCTGTGACTTTCCCACAGTCCCACCAACTCCCTAGACTGGGGAAGGGTCAATCGGTATGTACCCCTAGCTCAGTTACCGCCCTTGTGTCAGAGTTCATCTCTAGAGTCTACATCTCTCCCCTAAAACTCACCATTCTTCAGGACTCAGTGTCAAGGCTTGTGGTCTATGGTCTGAATGTGGCAAAGGGTCCACAAGGCCCCAGAAGAATGCTTTCCCCCAAACTAAAGAACAGATCCAGATCTACCCCTTGCCTCGCTGGAGAAGAGGCACAGGCCCACCCTGGTGACTGAGGGGCCCAACATCAGACAAGGCAAGGATAGAGAAGAGTGAACGTTAGGTCTCCGGGTTGGGAGCTCGAGACCAGCGTGGAGAGCCAGTAAGTATCTGAGATAGGATTCAAGCTCAGCTCTCTAGCCACCATGCCACCTTGCTGCCTAAGTGACTTGTCTAGCATCACACAACAGGTTGATGGCATGAGAGAAAGTAATAAACTGTTGTGGGAAGAGTGCAGCCTTGGCTTTAGGAGGCTTGCATTTGAATACCTAGCTTTGTGTTCATGAGCAAATTTCCTAATTTCACTGATCCCCACTTTCCTTACCAGTAAAATGCAACATCTACCTCACAGAGGTGTTTTGTGGATTATAGATATAGAATAGTCCCTTCCTTAGAGGTCATCTAGGGCCATTACACAGATGAGAAAACTGAGGTCCAGAGAGATTAGGTGATTCAGAGGCAGCTAGATGGTGCAGTGGATAGAATACACCTAGACTCAGTTTCCTCAACTGTAAAATGGGGATAATAATAGCACCTACCTCCAGGGCAGCTAGGTGGCTCAGTGGATAGGGTGCCAGGCTTAGAGTCAGGAAGACTTGAGTCCAAATCCAGCCTCAGATACTTACTAGTTTTGTGACCTAGCAAGTCATTTAACCTCTGTCCACTTCAGCTTCCTCAACTGTAAAATAGGGATAATAATAGCACCTACTTCCAGGGTCGTAATAAGAATCATGAGTTAATATTTGTGAAGTGCTTAGCACTGTGCCTGGCTTGTAGTAGACATTTAATAAATATTTGTTCCCTTCCCCCATTTGCCCAAGGTCACATACCTAGGAACTAGAACTGGGATCTCAATCTAATTTACTTAACTCCAAACTCAGACCTCTTTCCTCTACACCAAGCTGCCACTCGAAATGCTTTAGATGAGGGGTTGGACTGAATGGTTTTTATGGTCCCTTCCCTTTCTACCCTTGTGATCCTAAAATGTGTATAAATATGAGCGGTTATCCCTGGGATACATTAGAGCACAGATTGCCTTCTCTAAAATTTTTATCTCCCTAATGCCTAACTCAGTGCTCTGTACATAGTAGGTCCTTAATGTGTGTTTGTGTGTATGTGTTCTGTTGTTTCAGTGACCCCATTTGGGGTTTTTGTGGCAAAAATACTGGAGTGGCTTGCCATTTCCTTCTCCAACTCATTTTATAAAAGAGGAAACTGAGACAAACAGGGTGAAGTGACTTGCCCAGGGTCACACAGCTAGAAAGTGTCTGAAGCTGGATCAGAACTCAGGTTTTCCTGACTCCAGGTCTGGTGCTTTATCCACTGAACCCCCAATACATTTTTGTTCAGCTCAATTCAACCAGTGTTTATTAAGTCCCTTCTATGGGCCAAACACGGTGGAAGGCACTGGGGATACAAAACAGTCCCTGCTCTCAAAGAGCTTACCCTACAAGGGTGAAACAACATATTACCCAGATAAGTAAATATTAAACATCACAAAGTAATTTGGAGGGAAAGGGGAGAGGTAGAATTAACAGGTGGGGGAATCAGGACAGACCTCTGACATGGAAAACAGGATCTAAGCCTTGAGGGGAGCATTCCAAGCAAAGTTGACCTTATCCTTTCCATGACACCCTGAATATTTTACCCCCAGTTTCTCCCATCCCCTTTCTATCCCTGCAGAGTTGCCGAGAGAATTCTGAGTCAGTGGGGCTAAAACGAGGAAAGTGAACCAGTTCACCCTATACCATAACCAAACAGACACTTACTAACTGTATGACCCTGAGCAAGTCACAACCTCTGTTTGCTTTAATCCACTGAAGAAGAAAATGGTGAACCGTTCCAGTATTTTCGCCAAGAAATGGACAATGGACAATACTGGCATGCTATAGTCCAAGAGGTCAGGAAGGGTCGGGCATGACCAAACAAGAGTTGCTGAGAGAATTCTAAGTTGGCAGGGCTAAAAGGAGAAGAATGAACGTGCTCACCCTACTCCCTAGCCAAATAGAAACTGGTTCTGGATTATCTGATGTCTTGTTTCATCTGTCATCTTGGACTCTGAGCATGTTTCCTTCCCTCTGTCACCCTGAAAGGGGCTTACCTTTGTCTTATCTGATCTTGGACATATCACAAAGAGGCCTTTGTGGGAAAATATGGTCAAAGGAACAAAAGGAGGATGAAAGAGAAGAGAACAGAGACTGAGAGACAGAGACAGAGACAGAAAGGTAGAGAGATAGAGAGATTCAGAGTGGGAGGTGTTGGCTAGAGTTGAGGAACAAGGTAGTCAGAAGCTAAGAATAAGAAGCTGGCAGTGGGGTGTGACTTCATTATTCTGAAAGTTCTTCAGATATCCTATACATAAACACACATACACACCCCTGCCCAACCTGGTGACCTCCCCTCCTTTTCCCCTTTTCCCAAGGAGTGCTTGGTCCCCAGGAAGGGAATAGAGGTAGTAGTCTGCCTGGCTGGTTGGATATTACCCACAGTGCAGGAGTAGGGAAGAGAAGGGAAGGTGGTGAGGAGAAACTGGGGAAGAGTGCCAGGGCACTCCCCTTGGGCATCATGGTAGGAAGGGGAAAATGAATGGTGTCAAGTAAGTGTGAAACCCTAATGTGCTGCATCAAGGCACCACTTCAATTACAAGGAGCTCTTTTCTTTTTTTTCTTTTCCTTCGGTGAGGCAATCAGGGTTAAGTGACTTGCCCAAGGTCACACAGCTAGTTAAGTGTCAACTGTCTAAGGCTAGATTTGAACTTAGATCCTCCTGACTCCAAGGCCAAAGCTCTATCCAGTACATCATCTAGCTGCCCCCTATACTGCTCTTTTCTTGAGTAGTTATGTCTCCATATATCATGAACAGCTTCTTAGAAAGAGTATGGGATCCTCCCCAGGATCCTCGTACAGGAATCAGGGCCTCTGTTGTTGAGTTGTTTCAGTTATGCCCAACTCTTCGTGACTCCATTTGGGGTTTTCTTGGGCAAGGTCCTGGAATGGTTTGCCATTTCCTTCTCTAGCTCATTTGACAGATGAGGAAACTGAGGCAGACAGGGTCAAATGACTTGCCTAGGGTCACACAGTAAGTATCTGAGGCCAGATTTGAACTCAGGAAGATGAGTTTTCCTGACTCAGGGCCCAACTCTCTGTGCACTATGGCACCTCCTAGCTGCCTGGTTCCACTAATGGTCCCTATAAGAGGTTCACACTTCAGTTCCATGCAGCACTTGAAATAACTCAAACTATTCTCAAACTAGTCTATTTTCCACTATACCAGAGTCTAAAGATTATTTGTGTGTCTCCAGAGGGGTGTATGGGTGGTGACTGTGTGTATTGTGTATATTTTTGTGTGTGACTGTGAGGTTAAGGGCATTTGGGGGCTCAAGAAGTGCCATCCCTCCTACTCATCCAAGCTCCCACTTATATAGTGCTATATTATACAGACTAAAGAGGCCTCACTTTCCTACAGAGATGGCCCAACCATTTTCCAGGCTGTCCCCAGGGAGAGGATCTATCTTGTCAGGGACAGCATTCTCTCTTTTTTTTTTTTTTTTTTGGTGAGGCAATTGGGGTTAAGTGACTTGCCCAGAGTCACACAGCTAGTAAGTGTCTGAGGCTGGATTTGAACTCAGGTCTTCCTGACTCCAAGACCAGAGCTCTATCCACTGTGCCAACTAGCTGCCCCAACAGCATTCTCTTTTTAAAAGGGAATTCTATTTTATCAACTTGCCCACTGGACTACTCTTGAATTTCCCCAAACAGAATGGCAGGTAATCCCACTGTCGGCATCAAGGCAGAAATAAAAACTGAAGATCTCCCAGCTTCTAGATTGTCCCATGTCCTAGCTCTTCCCCTCCCACCAGGCCCCTTAGGGAAGTAGGGGACCGGGGGTAGATTCTGGGACTTGTATAGGTTACTCCTGCAGCATGTCTGAGAATGGGTCCCCAGGCTGGAAAGGGTCTAGGCTCACTGGGGTTGGGGGACTCTGCTAGATTCCCTGGGCCCCGGCCAATTTTACTTCTCCATCTCCCCTCTCATCCTTAGAAAAGCATCATGACTGTCCCTCCCATGCAGATTGCTCTGGGGGAAAGGGCAAGTGTTGTAATGAGATCACAGAAACCAGGGTTGAAAGGGACCTTGAAGTCCCCAGCTGGGAATTTCTGCTAAAGACTGTTTGGGCCCCTCCTGGGGGATGGGGGAGGAGTAAATTATCTCCTACAATTAGGACTAGTTCAACAGGCGATAGGGAATCTTTTTCCCCTTCCCACTGGCTCTGCAGGCAAGACCAGAAGGCAGCTGAGGATGATGGGAGAAAATTAAAGGGCAAAAAAAAAAAAAAAAAAAACACCCAAAGAAAAAAATGTAGACATAGTGAATGCAGATCTTTGCAAATGAGATGCAGAGAATAAAACAGCTAGGAGAGCTGCTGGGGGGCCCTCTACATTTCATCTGCTTACGTTATGCACATAATATTTACATATTAATGAATTTATTTCTACCATTTGTAATAAATAAGTCTGTTTATTCTCTCTTAATTCTCTTATATGTTTCTCCTCCCCCTCTCAGGAATATGCTAATGAACCACTGGCACTCCCAGGGTCCTAAGCAAGAAGGGGTTGGGGAGCACTAGTTTTCTGGGCCTCCTGGAAAGAGACATCCCTCCCTCCCCAATACAATGGGATAGGGTGGGGCACAGTGGTGCAGGAGCCAGTTTGAGCTGACATTGCAGCAAGAAAGATGAGGTTAAACACACAGAAGGCCTAGCTAGGTCCTCAAGTTAGGGTAAGGATGTAGATTGGGATGAGGACTGAAGCCTTGAACACAGACACCAGGGAGAGGCTAGTTTTGTTTTGTTTTTCCTTCCCTGCAAGGTTTCCTATTGATTCCTGTGGGATGAAAGGGCTATCTTGTGGGAAAGCAGGGAAATAGATTACATGACCCTGGGAATTCTAAGATAGCATTCTCTTCTTAAAGGGGAATTCTATTTTACGAAGTTGACCTCTGTACTACTCCAAACTCCTAAATTAGGGGGTCATGGTGAGCCCTCACATATTTGGAGGATGGGGCATGGAACTAGGGGTTGGGAGATAAAAATATGACAATTTCTAAGACTCTGGAATGTGGGATTTCTCCCTAGTTTAAGAAGGACCTTCACAATAGCAAAATAACCCATTCCTCCCTGAAAGAGAGGCCCACACATATGTCTCACACACAATGATCAGTGTGACATGGACAGAAGAAGCTCCATTCTTCGTGCTTCACTCCCACTTAGCCTTCTCCATCCTACTCTCTCCAGATCACCCAGGCCTCCTATCTCCAGCCTCCTAGTAGGACTCCCAGAGCCAGGCCCTGTCAGCTGGAAAAAGCAGGTGCCCAGATTGCCTGGAGGGGTTAAGCCCTTGGTAAGACCACAAGTAATATTGGGCCTGGATCATGAGGTTGACTGACCCCTCTCAATTTTCCAAGTTCATAGAGATCTTTGACAGAAATGATATATGAGGTCTAGCTTTCCTTTCTCAAGGCCAAGGTCTTCCTGCCCATCCCATTACCTCCCAGGTGAGACTGGGGAAGAACAGTGTTGAGGGGTCTGGAAGATATAGTAGGGGAATCTTCGGCAGTGAGTTGCTGTGTACTTGGGGGAGGGCAGGGGAGATGATAGATGTTAAGCCCTGGGAATCTTTCCCAACACAAATTCCATTCTGTTCTCCAGGAATGTCCAGAAAGAGGATAGTTCCCATTTCCCACCATAGTCCCTGGCTTCATGTGCTTCAGTCTTCCCCAGGCTTTGGGGGTAGCACCAGGCAGAACTAGCTCCTGGACAGGTCTGGACCAAATGGCCAGTTCATTTAGATGGTGACATAATAATTCTCCCATCCCTGGATCCCAGGATCAAGTGACTAGTCAGTAGGAAGGGTACTGGGGTAGGGGTAGATGGGGAAAAGGTAACTAAATAAAGTGGTGGCAGGGGACCTTGGTGCTCATCCAAGTGTCAGCTTTTCTCATTTATGGACTGATGGGCACCTTGGGGGGCTTCTCCCCTTCCCCCACCCTCCTAAACACAGTTTGGTCCCATAGAGAGGTGTGGAGAGGGCACCAGGTAGGCTGATAGCTAACAGCATGGGAAAGGTGGGCAGCACCTGGGCACTGAGGTACCCCATGAACATACCTCACCCTGACAGTGTTTTCTGCAGAGCTGATGCTAGCTTTCCTTGCCCACCTGGCATTTTATCCCAAGGAGTGGACACAGCTTCCCGAGGGAGCTGGGCTAAGGGACATGGGAACCTCTGCAGAAGATGCCCAAGGACACCTCCTGGCAGAGGATGAGGTCTGAGTGACTAAGGATTGTGGAATGGGGATGTGAATCCCTGTGCCGGACGTGGGTGGCAAGGTTAGTATACCCAGCTGACAGGCACCCACTGGGGTTCTGTCCGCAGCTTCTCCATCGCTGTCTGAAGCTCTCGGAAGGTTCTCTCAAGGTTGTCGTTGACCAGAGTGAGGTCAAAGTAGTGGCCGTACCCTCTCTGAATCCGGCTGCTCTCTTCAACTGTCCGCTTTAAGTCCGCCTCCTGCAGGGAATCCACTGAGTCAGGTGCTCCCTTCCCATTTGCCTTCTCTCCCCTGAATGAGAAACCACCCTCCCCCCCATTATTCCCCTTTGGTGACCTGGGAGAGAAAGCCGCAGGACAGCTGGTGTGATGATCCCTTCCCCTCTGGGCCATCCCTATATGATGCCAATCAAAGTGACCACTGACTCCCTGTGCTGAAGGAAGCTGAGCTCCAGGGCAGGGGCATTCCTACCTAGGCCCACTAAGTAATCACCATAGGCATCATAACTCATTATTTAGCCCAAAACACTTTCCACACATGATCTCATTTCAGCCTCACAACAACCTTGTGCTATCATTAGCCCTATTTTACAGATGAGACAAGTGAGGATTCAGGGAAGTTAAGGGTTTGGGTCAAGATCACATAGCTAGCAAGTATGTGAGTTAGGACTCAAACCCAGCTCTTCCTGCTCCAAATCCAGAGCTCTTTCTGCCACATGAATTCAACCTATGCCAAGCAAACCCCATCTCATACCCTAACAGACTGACTCGCCTTCTCATGCCATCTAGGCCCACAAACACCTGCCTCAGGTATCATGGCAACCCCAAGAGCACCCACTTATACGTGCCTAGGAAGTGTCCTCCCCAATATGATAGTACTCCCAGAGGATCCAAGACTTTGCTGCCAGACATCACCCCTGTACCCACCAGTAGAAGGAAGCCTGAAGATTGGGGGCAAAGCAGAAACTGACCAACTGAACTGGGAGACTGGACTGGGGTAGAATCAAGGGGGAGGGGGAGCTCTTTAGTCAAAGAAGGCTCCTCTCCCTAATCCTGTCCCTCTCTTCCTTCCCTCTCTCTCAGTCACATCCATCCTTGCCTTTCCTTTCCTCCTCTGCTCTCCCACAAGTTGAACTTGGAGCTTTTCTCTCACTCCCTTATTATTGCTCCTGGGTCAGCTAAGAATGGAGAAGGAGAAAACCAGGCCTTGGGAGAGAGACCAGAGGGACCCCTTCAAGACCTGTGATGAGGGCAAACAGGAAGACCCCCCTCTGATGACCCCCTTCCCACATTCTGAGCACTCCAGCCCAGCAGCACTGACTGCCCCCTGCATCTCTCCCCCCACCAGCCCCCACAAAGCTGCTCATTACGCTTATGGACAATATTCAGTATCTAGGGAAGCCCAGCTTTGGGTCCCAAAAGGGTCATGGAGGAACCTGGGAGATCAGCTAGTCCAACAACCTCTTCTCTCCCTACACTCTCTCCGCTTGGTGAACTCATCAGTTCCATGGATTTAAACTTCATGTCTTTGTAGATGGTTCTTAGGGGAGAGAGAGAGAGAGAGAGAGAGAGAGTTTCCCTGGATAGATTGTAGATAGATAGATAGATAGATAGATAGATAGATAGATAGATAGATAGA